AAATACTGATGTGGAGCCACATATTAGGACATTTATCTGTCTGTAAATTGGATTAAATGAACAGAATGTAGAGAGTCTAAGCTTTATAACGACGTATAACATGCCCACGTGAAATATCGGCCCCTATCAGCAAGTATATCGGCCGATAGCCGATATGCTTCCAGGTGCTCAATTCGGCCGATAATATCGGCCAACCGATATATCGGTCCGGCTCTAGTGTGTACTGTGGTGGTGAAAACAGATCAGATCAGAGCAATGATGTTTGGAATACAGGAGAATAAACAAACACAAATACAACTTCAGCGGGTAAATGAGAAGGAAACAACTGTAACATGGATAAAAAACAGCTCTAAAAAAAACGATTTTGCAGAATATATCCGCTTTAATGTCTGTACACTTATATTCCTGCATCCATCAGTCTGATATGTTATTATCAGTGAACTCAGGCTTTATCAGACTCATGCAGCATAAATGAGGAGCTCCAGCCTCAGTCTCTCCTCACACGTGTCTGCAGGAGGTCCGTGCTCTAGTTTGGATTTATCTGCTCACTCGCATCTGGAGAGGAGGACACAGAGGGAGGCAAACACAAGAGCTGAGTAGACTGTTTGTAATATGCAAGATGAAAGTTAAAAATAAATAAATAAATAAACTATGGCTTTAAGAAACTGCCGATATCAACAAATACCAGTGCACAGACTGACAACAGCATTTATTTCTTTTAAACTAAACTGAAAAAGACAAAACTGGTCCAAATGTTATGTAAGTGTTTTTTATCTCTCAAGTAACTACAGAACAGCTTTGTGTACATAAAAGTTCAAATATTATGAGAATTTCTGGGTCTTATTAGATAAATTTATATGTCTTATGTAGGGAAAGGCGCCTGTTCAGGGCTGCTCCCCCATTCTGACAGAATCCACAAACCAGGAACCTAGAGAAGTCGGTTCTGTCTGACTGCCTCTTGGTATTTACAACCCCAAGAGAACCGATCTTCTGTGCTCTCACACCTCTCTCCCCCCACGCCAAGTGGGACATGAATCAGAATGGGAAATTAACATGGCTCTGCTAAAGTGATAAGGACTGTTAAATAATGACATTCCTCATTTTGCTTTGAAGAAACAGACCCACATCATCTACATACCAGACCATCAGGCGCCAAGGTTTGGACCGGTTAAAACCGCGATGGACCACGGTTTGGACTAAAGAAGGACTGGATTAAACGCATCTTGATAACTAGTTAAAAATGTTTTAACTGTGTTCTATATAAGGCTCATGTTGATGCAAGATAAGTTCGCCACATTGTTTAATTCATGTGTTCATAGTCTCTTGTGTGTATTTCATGTCATGTTCCCACTGAGGTGTTTGCAGTAACTTCACGGCGTGTTTTCGGACAGATACACCTTTGATTCCCCTGTATGAATCATCGGCCAATGTTATCGTAAACAGTTATGAAGTACCTGAAAGTGGGAAGTTATCAAATTAATATTTACAAATGATATTTGTATGGGGACCAGTTCAGCTCAGATGCGGGCGTGCTTTAAATTTGCATATAACAACGGCCACCAAGTGCACTGACCAAAACGAAGCCGCTTAACTTTTCTTCGCTTTTCGCCTTGCCTCGCACCTGCCGAGAGCTGAGGACCCGAGTACCGTCATCACGCCGCTGCCTGCCCGTGCGCACGACCACCGCCGAACCCCGCAATCGCCGCATTCCACACGGACCGAGAACAACATCGCCAAGTAAGGCTGGTTCTGAACAGTGAATGAATAAGGGTTGGCATCCCTCTTTTTGCGATTGCGTCCAATTATTCCCAAGGCAAGCGCAGTAGCGACTTAGCGAAACGCCATAACTGAGCTAAACTGAACCCCGTTTTTATAACTACCTCAGGTTGTTAAAATCGGTGCTTTAATGTTACGTAACCAGAACTTGGAAGCTGGTGTCTAGTTATTGTTTGTTAATAAACCACACAAAGGAATTTGCTGGTTTCAGTGATTTTTCTTAAAGTTATCATCAGGTCACTTTTTCGGGTACGTTCCCTTCAGATTGATTAAACTTGATAAGTTGTTGTTGTCGCATATGGTTAAGTTTGATTCGGTCAGAATCTGGTGCCCCGCATATGTATAATTTCAATAATTCATCAAAAGCTAAACCACATATGCTCAAACACGCACATCTTACAACACGTTAAGTCGTATTTCTCCTACACTTACAAGGGTATTGGCTGAACCTATACATTTTTTTCAGTATCAGTGCCAATGTCAGATACCAGTAAAAAAAAACATTAATATTTCAGTTTTTGGGGGATAATTCCACTAGAGATACCACAATTTCAAACTTGATTGCGATACTAAACAACAGTCGATCACGTTAATTTTGAATCAACAAACTAAATGTAGGTTGTTGTGTGTAGTGTGAGGAGACGAGGCTGCGTCTGACACAAACACTGGAGTTGTGCCTCACAGTCCCACGTTTGGACTCTGGCTCCTTGGAGACGCTGTACCTCTCAGTGAGTGTGTTTACAGCACATCAGTGTCCCGGTATGATCGTGTATTTGAGTTTCCGGTTTCGTCATGGTGCATGTAAACGCAGTATTCTAGGTTACTGTAACATAAAGTTGAGTGCACATGTGTCCAAAAGACAAACACTTTCAATAATTTCATCACAACAGTAGCCAAAATAAAGTGACCAACATAAATAAAGTGAGTGAAATGTCTGTAAAATAAAGAGCTGCACTAAACCTGCACACGTCTGATCTCTGAAAACATGAACCATCTCCAACACGACACACACACAGAACAGACTCACCATCATCATCATCATCAACATCATCTGTCACAGAGAAAACACTCATATTCCACAAGTCGTGTCCTTTAGTCCGACAGAAGCTGAACCGCATCAGCGCACAAGGAAAGAGACGTTTTTCCAGCACTTATAGTTTATGCAAATTAGCCGTTTTAAGTTTAGTTTTCTGTAAAACGTAAACAAATGTGTTAAACTTGCATTAAACATTATAATGTCAAACGGGCTGATGTGGCTCTAGAGTGGTTATGGTTTATATGTTGTCAAGTTTATTTATGCAGATTAGTAATAGTAATAATAATGATGAAAATTTTAGTATAAAAACGTAAATGATTAATCGAAAATCGGTCGTTAATTCTCCCAACGATAGATGAAGAAAATTGAATCGACTGCTCATCCCTAGCGTGGACAACAATTGATTACTGTCACATCTATCATTTCTCTCCTCTGCATGGTGACAGAATATGATCATGTAGGATGCTAATGACCACAGTCCCTCTCTCTCTCTTCTCTTTCTCTTTCTCTTCTAACTCCCCCTCTCTCTGCTTGTGTTATTATGAATGATGCTAATTAGCCCCTGGTTTCACACATGCAGCGCTAACGACCCTGAAATAACTGGACACACGCTGCACTGGGCCTCCCCCTCTCCTCCCTCTAAGGACCGGTCCTGTGTGGACACTTATTGGTAGATTTGGGGGTGACTGTGAGGAGAGTTCTCGGCGCCGCAGAAAACATTGCTTTGATGTATTACTTAGAAGTGCTCTGGGTGTTTGCAAAGATAAGAGATTATATCTTTTTTTTCATTTTGATTGTGTCTATTGCACTGAAAAAAAGTTCTTACTGTGAGCAGGCTTGCATCTCCACAAACCTGACTCTAATGCCGATTCTCCAAGTACCAACTAATAAATATGGAGTGAGCGAGAAACTTGTGACAACCGGGAGGATGCAACATGTAACTTTCCTGAAGTCACTGGATGGATTGACAAAGTCTGGACTTCAGTGACACCGAAACCATCCTGTCTGGATTCAGAAAGGCTGGAATAATTCTAATTGCAACTGATGCTGAGTCTGACGACAGCTACACAGAAGATTAAACGCCGCTCCATTAACCTCCGGAAGTCGTGGAGTTGCTCAGAAGTGACACAGAGGATGAATAATTCAAGGATTTTGACATGATGTTAACAGTCTGTTGTTCTCTGTTCTATTGTTTTTACTATAACTTGCCTTTTAAGATGAAATGTCGGTTCCTGGTCTTTGGTTTTATAAAATACATTTCCCTCAAAAAGTGCGACTTATATATGTTTTTTCTTCTTCATTACACATATTTTGGCTGGTGCAACTTATACTCCGGAGCGACTTGTAGTCTGAAAAATATGGTACAACGAAACATCCCATGATCTCGGAATTCTTAAACTCAGGCACCATTTCAGATCTCGGAGCTGGTTCCGAGTTAGAAAATCCAACATGGCTGTGCCCTGGGTTTGGAAAACTGTGTTATATCTGAGAGTAGTATTATTCAGCCTTTATATGCTCTGCACTGTTTTACTCTTGAACATTGATTTTAAATATATCTAATATGAATATCTGGGAAAATAAACAGACTCAAATTACTGATCTTTTTGACGGATCTGAGCACTTTTCTAGATTTTATTGCTAGTTTTATTTATCCTATTGTACATATACTGTAATGTATCTCTTATTGTGTTTCTGACATGAGCAATGGAACAGAAACTCACTCTGAGCTCTGACCTCCGAGCATATGGTACACAGCCTTATTTAGCCTGGAGGAGGGCTTCCCCGCTTGATTCCATGAAATGACTGTTCCTTTGGCTATAATCTTCCACAGTATGGCACAAAACCTCCATTCTCCACAGAGAATGCTCTTAAGTATAGTTTTAACTTTCCATTTCCATAGAACATACAGGCGACACCTCCAGAAAAGTGAAATAACACACTTGCATGTGATCTTTTGGACTTTTGTTCACTCATTGGTCCAGTGCAATAACATGGAGTCAATGATTCGTTGACAAAGCAAAACATGTTCATGTCTAGACTGAATATTATCAGTCATTGTGAGTAAGAAATTGTCCCTGACCCACAGCTGCTTTTAATTTCTTAATTCAAGCAAATGATCCTGAAGTAGATATGACTCTTTTGCAGTACAACAGACTGGTACAGGTCTGGTCTTAGTCTGGTGAAGTACCTGAGGGGCCAGCTCTCCATTGGTGATGATCTTGGCGATGAGGCTCCACTTGCGGTTGCTGGTGGCGTTGTGGATCATCTTCTTTCGGAGTAGTTCTCCCACAGACACGTACTGGAAACCATAGCGCTCTGCGATCTTCAGGCTCTGAGTGCCTTTACCACTGCCTGGACCACCTGAGCACAAACACACAGTTTATATTTACTCACTCATACAGACACATGTTAGACAGTAGGAGGTTTAAAATGACAGAAACATCCTTAAAAAAGCCAAAACTATTTCAAAGGGGCAAATCAACCACAAATAACCACTCTAAGGTGTCATAGTGCCCCTGGGCAAGACACTTTTCCTTTTCCTTCCTTGTTTTTATATAAATGTGATGTGTGATAGAGCATGGAAACCCGACCCAAGTCTGACACACAGTCGGGTTCGGACATAGATATATTAATGCCTTTCGGGCTCGGGTCGGATTCAATCATTGCTCTGTCGGACGTGGGTCGGGCTCGGACAGAAAAATTCAGCCTGATCCACACTCTAATGTGTGAGTGGTTAGTGGCAGTCGGAGGAGGAGCTGACGTCTCCATAAATGTGATCACAACAAAGAGTCGGCATCTCCAATAGAGAGATTAGAAAGAGTCTGAAGAGAAAGTCCTGTCCGTCCTGACACGACAACGCAATGCTGGCGTTTCAGATTTCTCCACTCTGGAACCTGTTCTCAAAAAGCACAGTTTTCACCCACCCAAAACGCCGGCTCCATGTGGACAAAAGGCCAAAACAAATACAAACTTCACTGTTTCAACCAAAAAACGTTTTCGTGTGGACAGGCCCTAGATGCCCAGCTACTGAAGTCTGAGATGTTTCTTTTCATCATTTATGCACTCATCTGCATTTAACACATACGGGTCATTAAGAAGTAATGTTAATGTAGCATCATAACTTATTTTAACACACGGTAATAAACTGTGCTCCAGCTTGATTTGCAACTTCATATTAACCGCATAAACAGCAGCACTTACTGCACTCAAGCTGCGCCCATCCGCTGTGCCAATAAACAAATAATCCGTCCATAGCTGTTTTGAGTAAATGGTGACGGGAAACAACTGTAACATTAAAAGCTCTGAAAAGTTGATTTTGCAGAATGGGTTTGCAAAGTTTACTGTGTTGTGAAGGAAATTTGAAAGCTGGAACTAGGGCACTGAACGTGGTCAGCTGTTGGTACATGTTCAGTCCAAAAACTGAAATGAATGAATGATTATTCTACTTTAGTAATGTGAGTCTTCTGTGTATAGATGTGTGTGTGGAGGAGAGAGGAGGAGGAGGAGGAGGAGGAGGAAGAGGAGAGAGAGAAGAGGAGACGGAATGTGCTGGTGTTTTCGGGCGAGAAGTGTGAATTCTGACGCTGCGACAGAGGGACAGTATTAAGAGTGTGGGTGTGTGTGGTGCATTCTGTTTATTAGAAATGTTATGAAGACAGGGGCAGAGGAGACAGGAGCAGAGGAGGAGACAGGAGCAGAGGAGGAGACAGGAGAAGAGGAGGAGAGAGGAGAACAGGAGAAGAGGAGGAGAAGACAGGAGAAGAGGAGGAGAACAGGAGCAGAGAAGAGGAGGACAGGAGAAGAGGAGGAGACAGGAGAAGAGGAGGAGACAGGAGAAGAGGAGGAGACAGGAGCAGAGGAGGAGGAGACAGGAGGAGAGAGGAGGAGAGAGGAGGAGACAGGAGAAGAGGAGGAGACAGGAGAACAGGAGGAGGAGAGGGAGAGACAGGAGAGAGAGGAGGAGACAGGAGCAGGAGAGAGAGGAGAGACAGGAGGAGAGGAGGAGAGACAGGAGAAGAGGAGGAGACAGGAGAAGAGGAGGAGACAGGAGCAGAGGAGGAGACAGGAGAAGAGGAGGAGACAGGAGAAGAGGAGACAGGAGAAGAGGAGGAGACAGGAGAGAGGAGGATGAGGAGGAGGAGACAGGAGCAGGAGGAGGAGGAGACAGGAGACAGGAGAGACAGGAGAGGAGAGGAGGAGACAGGAGCAGGAGGAGAGGAGCAGAGAGAGGAGGAGCAGAGAGCAGAGTGAGATGAGGACAGGAGGAGGTGCATTGTAGGTTACGTCTCCGAGGTTATAAAATTAGGTCGTTAAAAGTTATTAGTGTAGTGCAAAAAAGTTCCCATCATGCCTCTGGGCTGAGGACTGGAACACCCTGTCCTACTGTCAACACAAAAATATTAAATCCACATTCTGGGATAGTTGGATTTATGACAAAATATCCAAGACTGAAGGTTCCAGTCTACTCAGATCACGTTAAAGCACGAAGAGTCACAAGGAAATAGTTTAGTCACTTTACGTTCACTCATTAGCCCAATGTAAAAAAAAAAAAAAACAGACTGAATAATTTTGGAGAAAAGGAGGAGGCAGGAGAAGAGATTCGATGTGACTATTGTGACTGTGAGGGAGGAGGAGACACGGAGCAGAGGAGAAAGATGAAAAGGAGGAGACAGGAGAAGAGGAGAAGAGGAGGAGGAGAGAGAGAGGAGAGGAGAGAGAGGCAGAAGAGGAGAGAGAGGAGGAGAGAGAGAAGAGGAGAGAGAGGAGACAGGAGAAGAGGAGGAGAGAGAGAGGAGAGAGAGAGGAGGAGGAGACAGGAGAAGAGGAGGAGGACAGGAGAAGAGGAGGAGACAGAGACAGGAGAAGGAGGAGGAGAGGAGAGGAGAAGAGGAGGAGAGGACAGGAGAGAGGAGAGGAGACAGGAGAAGAGAGAGGAGGAGAAGGGAGAAGAGGAGGAGGAGACAGGAGAAGAGGAGGAGGAGAAGAGAGGAGAAGAGGAGGAGAGAAGAGAAGAGGAGGAGACAGGAGAAGAGGAGGAGACAGGAGAAGAGGAGGAGAGAGAGAGAGGAGGAGAGAGGAGAGAGAGGAGAGGCAGGAGAAGAGGAGGAGACAGGAGAAGAGGAGGAGAGAGAGAAGAGAGGAGAAGGAGAGGAGGAGACAGGAGAAGAGGAGGAGGAGAGGAGAGAGAGAGAGAGAAGGAGAGAGGAGGAGAGAAGAAGAAGGAGGAGAGAGAGAAGGAGGAGGAGACAGGAGAAGAGGAGGAGAGGCAGGAGAAGAGGAGGAGACAGGAGAAGAGGAGAAGAGACAGGAGAAGAGGAGGAGAGAAGAGAAGAGGAGGAGAGGCAGGAGAAGAGGAGGAGACAGGAGAAGAGGAGAGAGGAGGAGAGAGAAGAGAAGAGGAGGAGACAGGAGAAGAGGAGGAGAGAAGAGAAGAGGAGGAGAGAGAGGAGGAGACAGGAGAAGAGGAGGAGACAGGAGAAGAGGAGGAGGAGGAGAGGAGGAGGAGACAGGAGAAGAGGAGGAGAAGAGAGGAGACAGGAGAGAGGAGGAGGAGACAGGAGAAGAGGAGGAGACAGGAGAGAGAGAGAGGAGAGAGGAGGAGACAGGAGAAGAGAGAGGAGGAGAGAGGCAGGAGAAGAGGAGGAGAGAGGAGAGAGACAGGAGAAGAGGAGGAGAGACAGGAGAAGAGGAGGAGAGAGAAGAGGCAGGAGAAGAGGAAGAAGAGGAGAGAGAGAGAGGAAGAGGAGGAGGAGACAGGAGAAGAGGAGGAGGACAGAGGAGAGAGGAGAGAAGGAGAGAAGAGAAGAGGAGGAGGAGGACAGGAGAGAGGAGAGAGGAGAGGAGACAGGAGAAGAGGAGGAGAAGCAGGAGAAGAGGAGGAGAGAAGAAGAGGAGGAGAGAAGAGAGAGAGGAGGAGGAGAGAGGAGAAGACAGGAGAAGAGGAGGAGAGAAGAGAAGAGGAGGAGAGGAGGAGAAGACAGGAGAAGAGGAGGAGAGAGGAGGAGAGGAGAGAGAGGAGGCAGGAGAAGAAGGAGAGAGAGAGAGAGAGAGAGAGAGAGAGAGAGGAGGAGACAGGAGAAGAGGAGGAGAGAAGAGAGAGAGGAGAGGAGGAGAGAGGAGGAGAGAAGAGAAGAGGAGGAGGAGAGAGAGGAGAGAGGAGAGAGGAGGAGACAGGAGAAGAGGAGGAGAGAAGAGAGAGAGGAGAGAAGAGGAGGAGAGAGAGAGAGGAGAGAGGAGAGAAGAGAAGAGAAGAGAGGAGAGGAGGAGACAGGAGAAGAGGAGGAGAGAAGAGAAGAGGAGGAGAGAAGAGAAGAGGAGGACAGGAGAAGAGGAGGAGAGGAGGAGAGAGAGAGAGGAGGAAGAGGAGGAGACAGGAGAAGAGGAGGAGACAGGAGAAGAGGAGGAGGCAGGAGAAGAGGAGGAGAGAGAAGAGGAGGAGAGAGGAGAAGAGGAGGAGAGGAGAGAGAAGAGAGGAGGAGAGGACAGGAGAAGAGGAGGAGACAGGAGAAGAGGAGGAGAGAAGAGGAGGCAGGAGAAGAGGAGGAGACAGGAGAAGAGGAGGAGACAGGAGAAGAGGAGGAGAGAAGAGAAGAGGAGGAGACAGGAGAAGAGGAGGAGGAGAGAAGAGGAGAGAGGAGGAGGCAGGAGAAGAGGAGGAGAGAGGAGAAGAGGAGGAGACAGGAGAAGAGGAGGAGACAGGAGAAGAGGAGGAGACAGAGAAGAGAGGAGAGAGAGAGGAGAGAGAGAGAGGAGAGAGGAGAGAAGAGGAGGAGGAGACAGGAGAAGAGGAGGAGAGAGAGAGAGGAGAGGAGGAGAGGAGAGGAGGAGCAGGAGAGGAGGAGGAGGAGGAGAGAGAGAGAGGAGGAGAGGAGGAGAAGAGGAGGAGGAGAGAAGAGAAGAGGAGGAGACAGGAAGAGGAGGAGAGAGAGACAGGAGAAGAGGAGAGAGGAGGAGAGAGAGGAGAGAGGAGGAGAGAGAGAGAAGAGGAGAGGAGAGAGGAGGAGAGAGAGAGAGGAGAGAGAAGAGGAGAGAGGAGAGAGGAAGAGGAGGAGGAGAAGAGGAGAAGAGGAGGAGAGAGAGAGGAGAGGAGGAGAGAGACAGGAGAAGAGAGGAGGAAGAGAGGAGAGGAGGAGAGAGAAGAGGAGGAGAGGCAGGAGAAGAGAGGAGGAGGAGAAGAGAAGAGGAGGAGAGAGGAGGAGGAGAGCAGGAGAAGAGGAGAGAGAGAGAGAGGAAGAGAGGAGGAGAGACAGGAGAAGAGGAGGAGAGAGAGAGAGAGGAGGAGAGGAGGAGGAGACAGGAGAAGAGGAGGAGAGGAGAAGAGGAGGAGACAGGAGAGAGAGAGGAGACAGGAGAAAGAGAAG